CCCACAGGGGTTTATGAAGCTGGGGCTAGGACTGATCCTTATTTGAGACAAAGTGATCTTTCTAATTTACATAGTTTGGGGTCTTTTTCCTTGAAAAACACAGAATCCACTAAACCTTCTCGCTTTTGCTCTCAAATCCTGTATCTATCAGGGGAGCACTTGTATATCTTGCATATACCTTTATATGGTTAACATCAAAAGAAATCCCCAAACCTGCAAACTTGTTTGCTGTTGTACAACATGGAGCAGAAAGTCTCAGAGATTCTGCTCCAGGAGTGGTTGTGGCTTTGCTGGGGTTTCAGATGTTTTCCCACAGTATAGGAAATCCTTACCAAGTACCTTATGGACAAAGAATGCCCATGTCTTCTGTAAGGAGACTGGCCAGAAAGGGTTCTGTTTCAGCAGGATTGTTCCCTAGTAAATGGTCTTCCAAAAACTAGGGTCTAACCCTTTTGCCAATCTTCCCCCTTTGTTAATGTAAATGAGAGTCAATGAAGTTGTGATACAGTATTTGCAGAGTAGGAAAACCTGCCTTATTCAAACTTGTTCTGTCTTTCTACATAAAGTCAGAGATTTGACATGGATAAATACTGTGCAGTTTTGCCATTAATCTGAAGGCTTATCTGGATTACTTGATATTTCTGGGTCTGTAGAAATAAAGTTGGAAACCTAGAGAACAGTTTGTAACCTTGGTGCTTCAGAGGCTTGTGGTAAATACAGCAGGCACAGTGTTCTGGTGTGGTGTTTCAATACTTCTCTTTTCAGTTTTGTTGGGGAAGGACAAGCAAAAAAGCCCAGACAATTATATAAAAGTTTAAAAGTGTTTTGAAGTATATAGTGCAGGCTTGGTTCTTCACGTGATAAAAACCTGGTTTGGCTTCAGTGTGTGAATAGTTTAACATCTGCCCTCCAAAATCCCTTTTTTGTACATGTATTACCTAGGGAATCTTACTCACAAACTTCAGTTTCCAAAAGCTAATTAAGACTTCAGTGTCGTAATACTATCGCAAGGCCTCCTGGTATCATGCCTTTGCAAAGGTTATAGCATTAATGAGGTATGAAAGCAGATTAACTACTAATCCAAGGTGTATACTGAATTGCCCCCTTACAGTAATGAGCTCAAATAATCAAGCACCTCATTTAGTTAAGAACAGGAATATGCAATTCCAAAGCTACTTCAGAAATGTATTTTTACCAGTTTGGAAGATAGAGACATGTTGCACAGAGTTAATCTTGAGCAAACTTAAAACTCTGTAAGAGTAATATGTAAGTACTTGCTTTTCCTCACTCTTCTTAACCAGGAACAGAAAAGCATGCATTTGTTTTTCAGAGACAAGTAGTTTAGGATCTTGGCCAGTAAAAGCAAACCAGGACTTCAGTCCTTTGCGGGTGAAAACTGACAATTCAAAGGGAAGGTGTTTCTAAAGAACACGGGCAGCTGATGGATTTTGTACAGAAGAGTATGCTCGGGAAAGCAAGACCCTCCTTGAAGTTCTTTTTCATTGCAGCAATTTGAGAAGCTGGGTAGCTCAGACTGTGTCATTCACAGATACTTTTGTACATGATTTGGACAATACAATTTTAAGAGACTTCTGCAGATTACAGACTTTTTTTTGAACTTGCAAAACATGTTTCACTACTAAAAGGCTAGTAACTTCACACCGATTAAAAATATACACTGAGTTCAGGTTTTCAACTTAGGTTTGTGGCTCATTTTTATTTCTGGAGCACTTTAGCATTGCTGCACCTACAACACTGCATCTTGTGATGGCCCCTGTCTACCTTCTATGCTAGGGCATTTGCATGCTAATCCCCAAAAATGATGAGTCGTGTTTGAAATCTGGGGAGTGAACCTACCAAACTACATGAAAGAAGGGTTCAACTGAAGTCCAATCACCAATGACTATGTAATAAAATCACAACTGGAAATAAAAGCCTGGATGTACAGGGTGCATGTTTGTGACCGAGCCCTTAGGAGGAGACAAAATGCTCTGCTTTTCGTTTTATTGAATGAGGGGATTTCTGCCTGGCCCTGTAAGATGCAGTGTTCATTGTAGGGGGTGTTATTTCATGTTTATGAATTGGGAAGGGACCTCTGAAGAAGGGTGCAGAGGTACAAATTCAAGCAGTGCATGTTTTCAGTTTGTCCTTGTTTTCCCCTTGTGGTGACTTCCTGGCTTTTTATTCCTTGGGTCACAAAGCATTTGATTTTCAGCAGTGAGCAAGCATTATTCTAGTTTCTTACATGTATGTACAAGGAAATTCTGTTTGGTGAATTGCCACTTCTTCTCAAGGTGGCAAACAAGGGTTTTATTCCCAAGCAAGCTCTTTCAGTGCTGGATGAAAAATACAATATCTGGGAAATTAGTTCAACTGAAAAGCTGAATTCTGCCAAGGGGAAAATTTTCACACCAACAGTCTGTCACAAAATCTGAGTTATTACAGGGAGTGAAGTTAAAAATTGCTGTCAAATGGGTGCTGGATGATGTTAATATGACTGTTTAGGGCAATGCACATTTAATTATTAACTGTTATGATACAATGCTGTTGTTGCTTCTGGGTCTTTATACTTTAATTTAGTGTTCTGCTATTGGGATTTTCAGGCAGCTATGTCAATGCAAAACATTCTCCTTTGAATATGGAGCTGAAGAATTTGGTCTGTCAGGAGAATTTGGTCACCAGGAGACCATGTTACTACTACTGTTACCAAAAAACCCAAACAACAAACCTAAAACCAAACAATAATAAAAAAAAAGGGCAAAAAACACCCAAACAACAACCCAAACCCCCAAAGCACCCAAAACAAAACTCCAAAGCAAACAGGTAAGCCAGCAGCAGTTTCTTGTGGTCAAAATGGTATAGAGCAATGTGTGAACAGTTAAAGTAACTTTAATGTTCTTCAAACACATCTGTCTGCAAGATGGAATGGTATTGGTGTTTATTGAATTCCTGAAGGAAAGCAGCTAGGTGAAAGCTTGGACTGAATTTCTTTCAATGAAGTACACTGAGAATTCAGTGTAATTCAGTGTAATTAACTCCAGGCCATGGATATGGGGTGGAGGAGGGCACAGTATCTTCTCGATGTGCCACGAGATCTCCAAGATTCTGAATTGCATCTTTACCCCTCACCTGCCAATATCCCTGTCAGGCTTACATTGACAGCCTGGGATTGTTTCCAACATTGCCAAAGGACACCAATGTCAATACAAGCTTTTTTATGCTCTTCCCTCTAATGCCTGATTTTCTTTCAGATAATGTATAAAATGATAGATATTTCAATATCACAGTGTGGGGAGTTTAACCTGTGTTACTGCCAGACTCTTGGCAGTAAATGACCTGTATTTTTGCTTTAAAAAAAAATGCAGTTTTTCATCACTCTTTCTGACCTTGGAATGGTGGAAACAATCTGTTCTCATTGGGAAACACTGAATCTATGTGGAACACAAATGTAAATAGGGATTTATGTTATAAGTCTGTGGAAATTTTTGAGGACAGTTGACTTTGTTCGATGGACAGGATGACAGTATTTCTGAATCAATGAAAGGACAATGCTTTGGAAAAGAGAGTACATGATTCAATGATAAATGAAAAGCCAGAGTTAGAAATGAAAGCCTATGCATATTAATAAGGAAATGGAGAAACTAGATAGACTGTGTTAGACTTGGTATAAATTCTAGTGATTCAGGATTTTAAGACCTTCAGGGGTAAATCTACAGTTAGAAAAGCTATAAGATTCTGTAAAATTAAAGGATGTCTCTAAGGTAATGAGTGGAGTACTGAGATCCCTACCCCAGGGTAGATCAGGTCTACTGCATTGTGTTGGATTTTTTTTGCTGTCTTCTGGCCCATGGCTGGTGGTTGTGGGGCTAGAGTTCCTAAATGTCCCTGGCACAGTCCAAGGCAGAGCAGTGACCTGGTAGAGATTATCTGATCACTGCTTATGGCAGGATTGCTTATAAGTAGTTGCTCTCTGTCCTTGGAACATGCAGGTTAGTGTGGCAATAGAGGAGACCAGAGGAGGCAATCAGGAGTACTATGGCACATCTTAGGAGCGGTACCTCTTGTTGTAACAGAGCGTAATTTCCTTCTGTTGACATAAATTCATCCAATATTTTCAGTTGTATGAATGTCCTCCTTTGTAGCTGAACAAAGAGCCTGTGGTAAATACATGATTTTATCGATTCAGTGCCCAAACAGGTAAGTGTAAAGGCAGGAACTGTGGGATCAGACCGACATTTTGCTCTGTCCCTGACAGCGTTCAAGAGCAGGCTGGACAGAGCCTTGGGTGACATGGTCTAGTGTGAGGTGTCCCAGCCCATGGTAGGAGGGGGTGGAACTGTATGATCTTAAGGTGCTTTCCAACCCAAACCATTCTATGATTGTCCACAAAATTTTTAAAATTCCTTCTTCTTCCTGTACATTTTATTCTGAGTTCCTCTATTTCCTTTTCTATTCAAAGTGCTAAATAGTTTATATATCTTTTGGAAACTATGGAAAATTAACCTCAATCCAAAAATTATTTAAATTTTTTTTTTCATTTTTGAAATTACTGAACTGAAATATTATCAAAGTTTTCATATCTGCTTTTGGCTGAAGTCATTATGGAATTTATCCAAGTGTCCAAGCTGTGTATAGCTACGGTGTCAGAAAGGGCAGACAGGACTCATGGACTTTTAAACAGGTGAAGCCAGACTAGAAGCATTTCCTTACAAGCACTTACTCGTAGTGAGACTGTAGTATAATATTACATACAGAGCTGATGTAATGGAAGCTGCTTTAAAAATTATGTCTGCATTAAAAATCATGTGTAAACAATATTCTGCTTTATCTTCTGCTGTGGACTGCCTTGAAATGCTCCAGCTCCCCATGTTGCAGATGTAGGCTTTTCACATCATTGCCAGGATTTGGTGCATGTATTTCATCAGTGGTTCTGGTACTTGCTCATTAATGGCTTCACTGCTCATTAATTTTTTAATGAACTTTTTTTCCTTGCCTTCTAGGTTTATGATGAACGTGACTTGGGAAGGTAAAGATTTGTCCTTCACAGAAGATGGTTATCAGGCACACCCCAGGCTGGTGGTGATAGTACTCAACAACGATCGCCAGTGGGAAAAGGTGAGCATTCATTACCTCTGAGTAAAAGATGTGACGGGAGCTAGGAGAGACTTCGTAGAACCCTATTAGTGACAAGTAGACAGATTAACGTCATGGATGTCAATGATGATACTCTGCTGTAGCAGGTTTGTCACAACAGTTCAGAAAAGCTAATTTTACCTGGTTCTGAGTAGGTATAAGGAGTTTTAACAGGGAAAACAACATATCAGTGAAGATAAACCATGTGGGTTTCAGAAGATTTATGTGAAACACACCTTGCATTTCTTTATACAATTTAGTAAAATAAAACAGGTGACTGAAATATCTCCAGAAACTTGGCCTTATATACCTAAATTTGGATGGATTTGTGTATCTTGACGGCTCCAGTCAGGGTTGGTTTTTTTTTTTTGCTTGGTTTTGTTTTCTTCGACGCAATTTAGAGTGAAAATACATTCTTTTTTAACCTGTGAAATTTCTGTGAATTAGAGGATAATCTGTCTAATGTGTACCTAAGAAGTTCAGAATCTTGACTTGTGTTCTCCTGGTAGGCAAGTAATTTTCATAAGCCTCTATATAGACTACAAGAAAAAGCGTCTTGGTATCAGGGTTAATCATATATGTGAGTAATAAAAGAAAAAGTTTACAATGAGGTTTTTTTCTTTAAAACTCTCACCTCAGCCTGTGATTGTTTTGGCTCTCAGTTTTGGAGGTTACGTGTGGTCCCATGTTGTAAAAACAGGGGAGCTTAGAAACAGTTTGCAATATGAAACTATAGGAAAAAATACATCTGTATCATCCACCAGTTTTAAATTCATAAACCATGATCCTGTATTATCTAAATTGCTGCTGAAATCTATGAACTCTTTTTCTTATAGCTTTTGGATCCCATAAAGTCAATTTAAAACTCCAATTTGTAAGACTGCAAGACTCTTCATGATGTTGAATTATAATGACAAAACAAGAATTACTGAAGGACATCTCAGTAAATATGCTAGTCATGTAAAACCACAGGGAGTAGTCCTAGATTATGCTGTGTATTTTTTTATGTTAATCTGATGCAAATTTAATTCTCTGGATAAATTTAATCCTATCCAAACATGCCAATATGAATTTTTGGGGGAATCTTTTGCTCAATAACTGTTACAAAAATGTCTTACCCTATTTTAAAATTCTACAACAGTCTTCATACCATATATAAAGTTGTGGAAAAAGTGTTCCACTACTTGGGGAATATTAGTATGAGGCACAAAAAGGAGAAGACAGAGAGGCAGCCAACAATGCTTATGTGCATTTTGTATCTTGAAACTTCTCTAAAGAGACCATTCAAAGGGACAGGGGAGATAGGCTTGATGTTTTTGAAAAATGAGCTAACAACAGCGAAGAAATGGTGGATATATGAAGTGACATTATGTCTAAGAAATAACTTGAGCCTTTTTTAACCCTCAGGCGACTCCCCTGTCAGAGAATGGAAGATTTAGTGCAGGTTTTTCTCTGTCTAGCTGTGCATGATGTATGGCAGCAGTGCACGCTCCACCTACTGCCCTGGGCTACAAGACCTCTGTAGGCTGATGCTTACATTGCCAGTTGCACAGTTTTCTACCTGGGAAATCCCTTCCTGCTCATTGCTGTGCTGGGGGGCTTCTAGGAGAAAGAGAGGAGAGACTGAAGGGAAGCTCCTGCCCAGAAAAAAAGCCATATGCAGTTACTCCTAGCTGCCCCTTTTCTTTAGAGCCTTTTTGTTAGTAGGCCTGCCAAGTTACTTCAGTAGAGACAGCCTGCCCTAGCAGCAGCTTTCATGTCTGCTTCTCTATTGTAGGACTACGGGAAGGGGGCCAGGTTTAATTATGTCAGAGGGGAGAAGTGAAAGGCGGCCAAGAACGGGCTGTCACCACCAGAATTATTCTTCTGACCACAAGCTGATCCCTGTCTCTGTGGATGAAGACTAAACTGACTAATCACTTACCCTGGCAAGCTGGATGTAGCTCCCAGCTATCTCAGAGCACCCCACATTTATATCAGCAGGGCACCACTGTGCACTTCAGAAGTAATAAGGCAGTTCCTCTGACTTACAGGCATGAGAAGGCCCTCGCCCAACCCCTGGTTTATTTGAACATTTTTCCAGCATCATCTCAACATTCTCTCCAAGTTGCATTTCTCACCCCATGTCTCTTGGCCAGTTTCTTTCTCCTTGTTTCTTTCTCCTTTTGCTGTTTTTCTCAATTTTAAAACTGTCAAAGTTACTCATCTGAGATCTAACATTTACTGCTCTGAATTTCCAAACAGTCACATGGTTTTACTTCCACTGACAGTATTGCAGTATCACAGAACTGTTTTATTGAAGTCTTATTAAATATCCTCAATCTTATATGGAAAGCATCAGTTCCTAGAATCTAATTAAATGATTTACTCATGTGAAAAGCTGACAATCCAACAGCCTGCTGATCCGTGTAATATAACTAATGTACATAGAAATTGCAAGTTTTATTATTTATGTAAGAATGACTAAGTGTGGTTTATGTGAAGATGTTTTTACCCATTATTCTCCTGAAAGTGCAAGATTTAATATTAAAATTCATTCTTCTTTGGGTTTATTATAATAATCTGCTTTTACTTAAATACAGTTTCTCTTGGTGTCAAAATTGATATATTTGACTCGAAGCTTGAGGTTATAGCAAATCCGTTCAACCATAGTTGAACCATACATCTCTAAGAAATGGAGATGCCTTCCCAGAAAAATAAGTTCCTTTTTCTTTACAGATGACTCAGTATCAAAAGTCTGAGGTCATAATTTCACATGTAAATGTCTTGAGTGAGGGATTTGTCCCATATCAGGTTCTAAAAAAAGCTGGTTGAATGATAATAGTTTGAAGACTGAAAAACAATTTTGGGCATGTTCAAGCATGCATCCAGCAAGATATTGTGACAGGTCCTAAAGCAGCTACTCAAACTTCTGACATCAACATTCATATTCTTGCTGCTAATCTTGACAGGAACAGGGGCCGCTGTTTTCTGGCAAGAGATTTTTAAGAAGATAAGCTTAATGTGCTTGTTTCAGTGAAACTTGAAATTTGTCAGTGTTGCCCAAATATTACCAAAGCACTGCAGGAACACTGTGCCTAGTGCTAAAAAGTCCTCAGGGGTCTAGCAGTACCACCTGCAGCTCCCCCATTAAGCTTATCTTAGTGAGGTGTGACCTAGGTCTCATCCTTGGCCCATTAACTTCACTGAATTGCAAACCTTAGTCTGTTAGCGGTTTTTAGTCCTGTTTAATGTGGAAATAAAACCAATCAATCCCATATTAAAATCATATACTAGAATATAGTTAGCAGGGGCAAAATTACATGGTTTAATTAACTGTGCAGATCATATATGTTAAGTAAGGAAGGGAGGACTGTATAACTTTTAAAGATGAGTGTATTCTATGTGTGAAGATGAGTTTCAGAGTAAAAACAATTTTTTCTGGTGCTCCCACAGCTAGATACAGATAACATAACTGTGGTGGTCTGTATTCTGAGTGGATTTGTGAAATATAAATGTCTTATATTTTTGTAGCCACTGAGTTTTTACAAGAAGCAACAGTAACGGGAACTACACAGCACAATTGCAAGTTAAAAGCCACTGCAAGAACCATTACTTACATCTGGGTTTATTCTAAACATAACCAGTCATCTTCCACTTTCTGTTAATGCAGGATTTAATGTGGAACTTGATTTTGCTCTGATTAACTAACATATGCCAGCTTTACAAGCTCTGTGTGAAGTTGTACACATTTGCCTCTGAGTAGGAATGAGTGGGCAGAGGGTGCGCAATTCCTGCCTGGAATAAATGAACCAAGGTCTTCACAGAGAGATCCATCTGGCTACTAACGTCCACCATCATGTAACTGAGAAAAGACAGGTATTATATCTAATGGTATAGATGAAACTTCACTAGACAAGAACTGAAAAACCTGACACTCAGATTGCTGACGGATGTTTTTGTCAGCGTTATGTTGTAAGAAAAAGTCACTTAGATGGTACAGGGCAGTTTCTTATGACATCTTAATTGATTTCAGAGAAGGGATTGTGATATTTGAAGGATCCTGATGTCTCATGATAGACATTCCCTAAAAGTTGTAAAAAAAATGCATCTGTTTTAACTAGAACAGATGAAATTGCATTATCTAATCACCCATTTGCGGGTATATCTTTTGTAAGTGGCTCTGTGGCCTAACATGATATATTATCTTTGCTCATAGCAGAAACAGCATGCTCTAACATCTGCTGGGTTGTCATTTTCTTTTTTCCATCCTTGTTGCTTAGTGTATTTAGTCTTCCTGTAAATGTGCCTAGCCTGACACTTACTGTCGAGTGAAAATTGTATGTTGTTTCTGTATCAGTGAGCTTTTACTTAGCTGAAAGGCCCTTCCTTTGACCTTTCTGTATGGAATTGTTTGAATTGCATCAATTATTATGCAGCATTTCTTAAATTGCATTCCCAAGGAGGATGGTTCCCTCCTCTCTGCTGCTGTAAAGAAGTCGCAGCTACTATGGAAAACAGTGTGCTTCCCTCCTGTTCATTACAGCTAGTATCAAAGAGGGGATTAAAGAGCAGGAGGACTTTCAGGGCAGCTCTTCCTCTCTGGAAGTCAGGGTATGGCTACCTGGACATCTCTGGAGAGCTGTAAGATCTTGACTGAGTGCAGAGCTGACGGAAAGTCATCCCTCACTGGGAGGAGGAGGAAGGAGGTGTCAATTTGTTTAGCTCTTTGCCTTTACTTCATAAAACGGCTGCTTCACCCTGAGTTTGAACTCTTGCACTACATAGAGTGAAATGGCACATTTCCCAGTACCAAAACTATACTAACTGCTGAGGATATGGTGAGTGCCAAATACTCATTTGTCAACTAATTCTATGTTGATAAATGAGGCCATGGGAGGTGTTAATTTTTCTTTCTCCTGTTTGTTTATTCTCTCTCTGGGTGCTGTGTTTGTGGCAGTGCTGGGCCGTTCCTGTCAGCAGCAGGAGCGGCCATGAGGGAA